CCCCCCCCCCTCTTTCTTTGTCCCTCTTTCTCATCACACAATGTGCTTTCTTTGGGCAGGGCTTGTCTTCTTTAATACTACACGTAGTTTCACCTGCTTCGATATTATTCTTAACTTTGAATTGTGTTTTTGCCTTAATTGATAAGAGACAATTTTCAGAGGTCAACGAAATGATGCCAAGCTAGATCTAGATCTATTTATCTGTATCCAGCTTGTCTGCAGCTCAGAATAAAACGCAAATTATGTTTACAAAGCAAGCCCAACTACTTGTGTTTTTTTGTGTTCACAAATTCATTTCTCCTTTGGAGGATGGGGGTGGGGATGAGGGGGGAGGGGGGGAGATCTGACATTGAGAAAACGTTGATAATGGCATGAGAGATGTCTTGTGTCTGGAATCTTGGTTGGGCCTCATCTTGTGTCAGATCTCTTTCTTTTTCGGGAGGGGGGGGGGGGGGTTGCTTGTGCGTTTGTTCGTTCCTGCCTCCCTGCCTACCAACTTACTTAACTACCTACCTACCTGCCTTCTTATCTATTTAATGTCTACCTACCTACCTACCTACCTGCCTACTAAAGTAGAACACGGATAGCTCGATTTCGTCTGGACTGGCCTCGGTAGTTCGAGGCATCTGTAGTTCGAGGGATCTAACAACAGGGTTGGTGATTTTTTAAATTAAAAAAAAAAAATGGATTAAAAAAAATTTAAATCAGATTTTTTAAATTTAAATCGGATTAATTTTTTTTTTGGATTTTTAAGAAAATGGCGACACAGTTTGGGATTTTGGGTGGCTAAAAGTATGTTCTTTTAGTGCAAAATGCATTGTCTTTATTTTATGTAATGATTAATGTAAGCAACTGCAAAAGAAAGCCTTAATTTGCTATATCAGTGAATTATGGCTACAGGAAAATGAAGAAAATGTCAGTCTAAAAGGAAGGGGGGGGGGGGGGGGGGTAATTATGAATAGATAAACTTGCATTTTATTACAGTGTGTGTGTGTGTGTGTGTGTGTGTGTGTGTGTGTGTGTGTGCGCGCGCTTGTGTTTGTCTAAAAAGAAAAAGAAAATGCTAATTTCAATTAGTAAATTGAATACTGTATTATTTTACAGTGACAGGGGGGAAAGCAGACTTTTAAGCATGATTATATTAGTCTACTAAACCTTATATCTGTTTTTATAAAACCAAGGAAAGGGATTCTGAATGTTTAAAGATGTAAAAACAGAATACATTTTTTTTCTAACTGATTTAAATCACTGAGTTTTATTTTTTATTTTTTTTGTAAAGTGTTTTACGGCGCTCGCAACTGCATAGGTCATATGAGCGTGCGGGACACACCTAATATTTTCAGTTGGTAGGAAATTTGGAATTTTGCCCGGGTGGCGGC